AGTTTGTCTCTGAAAATATTATTTCTAGCGGTTCGATACATGTATTTCAATGTTATCAAAAGTGCTGATTCAGGGAAACAGTAAACTCGCTATGTACACTGTGGCTATCGTTTTACCTCAATTTTAAAACATTTAAAAAATATTTGTAAAATATCTTAAATATTGTGAATATAGTGTGTCTACTATTTTTTCAGTTTTTCGTGTACAATATGCATACAACTTTATTGATGTGTGTATTATGACTTGTTAGATGTGGCATTACATTTTATATGAGGCTGAAAGTTATTGAAATAGTTTTATGTGTAGTTGGTATGTATTCCTGATCAAGAAACGCCCACATCAAACAATGGAGTTTGTGAACAAGGAATGATGAGTAATTAGTTTTGACTTCAATCTCCTGTGTGATAAATGTTATAACGACGATACCTGCACATACCAGATCGTAAGATATACGTTCAGGTGTCGATGCATAACTCTGTGTAACACGTATGACGTATAAGATTATATACGGATTGAAATATCTAGGGGATTTTTTGCCATCCCATTTTGACTTCTTGTAACCTTCTTGTAAATCTGTATATGGGGTTAAAGTGGTTCAAGACACAGGGTCACTCGCTGCAGGGGTTGTGTTTGTAAAATCTCAGCAGTAACCGTATTTCTTGAACAACTTCAATTACCTTCATCCCAACCCAAACCCCAGATGTAGCACAACCGTATAGAGGGTCTGATTCTTCTGAAGCTCAGTCACTCTACATATAGAGACCAGCCACCACACGAGCCACGCCTGTCTACAGACTGTATATCAACTGTAGTGTCGCCACCCGGTGCGCGACGAGGTCTATGCCTGCTATATATAGAGCTGGCAATAATACAGGGGCATAGTTCATCTTATCTGACAATTTGTATCAGCTATTGGTTCCATTGTACGTCCACCCTCTTCTGTACTTGTGTATACATGGCCCTGCTCTTTGTGTTGTCACACAGTCAATGTTTAGCTCAGGTCTCCAAGCTGTGCTGGGATACATCTGCCAGATCGTCTAGTCATCCTAGGCTGGGGCCGTCGCTATCTGAACACCCCTCAATGTCACCTGGGTCATGTGACGTCATCACCACCCGTCAGCTGGGTCACGAGGTCTGGTGCTCTACTCATGACCCTCCTGTCTGTTTACGATTGAAGGTCGTCGTCATGACGCCAGCTCACGGTGTGTGCTTTTCAATGGTTGCAGTGTTACTAACTGTGAGAATTGACTTCACAATAGAGTTCCGAGAAAATTAATGAAAGTGTTTTCTCCCTGGGTATTTTTACAAGGTTAGGAAATTTCCTGCATAAAATCGTGGTGTGTCGACTTGTACTTTCTCCTCTCCCTCACACAGCCGCATGTGCACGACACCTCGTGTTGAGGAAACACTTAACGCAACAACCTTTATGTGCTGTACACAACTAAAGTAACATTTCATACCTTCATACTGTTGTATATACTGTACACAACTAAAGTAACAGTTTATACCTTCATACTGATGTATGTACTGTACACAACTAAAGTAACATTTTATACCTTCATACTGCTGTATATACTTTACACAACTAAATAACAGTTTATACCTTCATACTGCTGTATATACTTTACACAACTAAATAACAGTTTATACCTTCATACTGCCGTATGTACTGTACACAACTAAAGTAACAGTTTATACCTTCATACTGCCGTATGTACTGTACACAACTAAAGTACCAGTTCATACCTTCATACTGCTGTATGTACTGTACGCAACTAAAGTACCAGTTCATACCTTCATACTGCTGTATGTACTGTACACAACTAAACTAACATTTCATACCTTCATACTGCTGTATGTACTGTACACAACTAAAGTAACAGTTCATACCTTCATACTGCTGTATGTACTGTGCACAACTAAAGTAACAGTTCATACCTTCATACTGCTGTATGTAGTGTACACAACTAAAGGAACAGTTCATACCTTCATACTGCTGTATGTACTGTGCACAACTAAAGTAACAGTTCATACCTTCATACTGCTGTATGTAGTGTACACAACTAAAGTAACAGTTTATACCTTCATATTGCTGTATGTACTGTACACAACTAAAGTAACAGTTTATACCTTCATACTGCTGTATGTCCTGTACACAACTAAAGTAACAGTTCATACCTTCATCCTGCTGTATGTATTGTACACAACTAAAGGAACAGTTCATACCTTCATACTGCTGTATGTACTGTGCACAACTAAAGTAACAGTTCATACCTTCATACTGCTGTATGTACTGTGCACAACTAAAGTAACAGTTCATACCTTCATACTGCTGTATGTAGTGTACACAACTAAAGTAACAGTTCATTCCTTCATACTGCTGTATGTACTGTACACAACTAAACTAACATTTCATACCTTCATCCTGCTGTATGTACTGTACACAACTAAAGTAACAGTTTATACCTTCATACTGATGTATGTACTGTACACAACTAAAGTAACAGTTTATACCTTCATACTGCTGTATGTACTGTACGCAACTAAAGTAACAGTTTATACCTCCATACTGCTGTATGTACTGTACGCAACTAAAGTAACAGTTCATACCTTCATACTGCTGTATGTACTGTACGCAACTAAAGTAACAGTTCATACCTTCATACTGCTGTATGTACTGTACACAACTAAAGTAACAGTTTATACCTTCATACTGCTGTATGTATTGTACACAACTAAAGTACCAGTTCATACCTTCATACTGCCGTATGTACTGTACACAACTAAAGTAACAGTTTATACCTTCATACTGATGTATGTACTGTACACAACTAAAGTAACAGTTTATACCTTCATACTGCTGTATGTACTGTACGCAACTAAAGTAACAGTTCATACCTTCATACTGCTGTATGTACTGTACACAACTAAAGTAACAGTTTATACCTTCATACTGATGTATGTACTGTACACAACTAAAGTAACAGTTCATACCTTCATACTGCTGTATGTCCTGTACACAACTAAAGTAACAGTTCATACCTTCATACTGCTGTATGTACTGTACACAACTAAACTAACATTTCATACCTTCATACTGCTGTATGTCCTGTACACAACTAAAGTAACAGTTCATACCTTCATACTGCTGTATGTATTGTACACAACTAAAGTAACAGTTCATACCTTCATACTGCTGTATGTACTGTACACAACTAAAGTACCAGTTCATACCTTCATACTGCTGTATGTACTGTACACAACTAAAGTACCAGTTCATACCTTCATACTGCTGTATGTCCTGTACACAACTAAAGTAACAGTTCATACCTTCATACTGCTGTATGTACTGTACGCAACTAAAGTACCAGTTCATACCTTCATACTGCTGTATGTACTGTACACAACTAAAGTAAAAGTTCATACCTTCATACTGCTGTATGTATTGTACACAACTAAAGTAACATTTCATACCTTCATACTGCTGTATGTACTGTACACAACTAAAGTAACAGTTCATACCTTCATACTGCTGTATGTCCTGTACACAACTAAAGTAACAGTTTATACCTTCATACTGCTGTATGTATTGTACACAACTAAACTAACATTTCATACCTTCATACTGCTGTATGTACTGTACACAACTAAAGTAACAGTTCATACCTTCATACTGCTGTATGTACTGTACACAACTAAAGTAACAGTTCATACCTTCATACTGCTGTAAGTAGTGTACACAACTAAAGTACCAGTTCATACCTTCATACTGCTGTATGTACTGTACACAACTAAAGTAACAGTTCATACCTTCATACTGCTGTATGTCCTGTACACAACTAAAGTAACAGTTTATACCTTCATACTGCTGTATGTATTGTACACAACAAAAGTAACAGTTCATACCTTCATACTGCTGTATGTATTGTACACAACTAATGTAAAAGTTCATACCTTCATACTGCTTTATGTACTGTACACAACTAAAGTAACAGTTTATACCTTCATACTGCTGTATGTACCTTGCTCAATGGATAATGGAGACTGATAATTCTCGCCTGTTGTATGACATGTATTCACAAAATGTTCACTACTATATTACCTTGCTCAATGGATAATAGAGACTTGAAAATCTCTGCGTTGTATGACATGTATTCACATAATGTTCACCACTACATTACCTTGCTCAATGGATAATAGAGACTGATAATTCCCTGGCATTGTATGACATGTATTCAAATAATGTTCACCACTACATTACCTTGCCAATTGGATAATAGAGACTGATAATTCTCTGGCGTTCTATGACATGTATTCAAATAATGTTCACCACTACATTACCTTGCCAATTGGATAATAGAGACTGATAATTCCCTGGCATTGTATGACATGTATTCAAATAATGTTCACCACTACATTACCTTGCCCAATGGATGATAGAGACTGGTAATTCTCTGGCGTTGTATGAGATCTATTCACATAATGTTCACCACTACATTACCTTGCCCACTGGATAAAAGAGACTGATAATTCTCTGTAGTTGACGTTTTATATACTATGTTGAACATTAATACACCAACATTGGTGTCTTCTTGATATACAAGAAGATAATTAAATAGTGCTATCAGTGTAATATTTCGGTGTATAGAAGATATGTCGCGCAGCTTGTTGTGTCAGTCATCACATCGATTGACCTGGAAACCTTGATTCATCTGTGTCGAGATAAGATAAATGCTACTTATCAAGTCAGGCCAAGTAGTAATGTTTTGTCTCATTGGTTGAGGTCTGAAACAATAACAATCAAGTTTTTCAGAGGTGTCCTTCAGTAAAAAAAACTGATTGTAATTATTCAGATAAAAATAATATGTATTCCATAAATACACAATATATTCACACGTTCGCACACGCACGAACGCACACGTACACACACGCACACACACACACGCGCGCGCGCACGCGCGCACACACACACACACGCATCTACATAACAATAAACGAAGTACACTTTTCTTAGGTTTTATTAATAAACAATATTTACAACAAAAACATTAGAGATGTATAGCCGACAGCTTCCTTCACTATCTCCCCAGACAAGCACACAGCACTACACTATACCAACAGGGAGAGACAACACACCATGACAATATTGTATTTGTCCATACTTGAGAGGAGAAATAGTCGGTATTTTCATTTACATATTTACATAAAACTGTATATTGTTGCCAAGTGCCTTGTATGAACTCGGGACGACGATCCCTTTTAAAGTCTGACTCACAATTCACTATTTCAGAACTCCCGCCCAAGGCAGTATGATATATGCACCTACTCTGATATATGTATTAACAATGACTGTATGACATATCCACCTACTCTGATATATGTATTAACAATGACTGTATGACATATCCACCTACTCTGATATATGTATTAACAATGACTGTATGACATATCCACCTACTCTGATATATGTATTAACAATGACTGTATGATATATCCACCTACTCTGATATATGTATTAACAATGACTGTATGACATATCCACCTACTCTGATATATGTATTAACAATGACTGTATGACATATCCACCTACTCTGATATATGTATTAACAATGACTGTATGACATATCCACCTACTCTGATATATGTATTAACAATGACTGTATGACATATCCACCTACTCTGATATATGTATTAACAATGACTGTATGATATATCCACCTACTCTGATATATGTATTAACAATGACTGTATGACATATCCACCTACTCTGATATATGTATTAACAATGACTGTATGACATATCCACCTACTCTGATATATGTATTAACAATGACTGTATGACATATCCACCTACTCTGATATAGGTATTAACAATGACTGTATGACATATCCACCTACTCTGATATATGTATTAACAATGACTGTATGACATATCAACCTACTCTGATTTATGTATTAACAATGACTGTATGACAGTTCTATGTAAATACTGACACGTCAATAATCATTAGGTCAGGCATGACTATCTACAAGTATGCATATCAATATAATTCTTAGAGTCAGTTCACAGTGAACATCGTTGGAATAGTAAGTGTTCAATGCATTATGTAAGTGAGAAGTTAGTTATATATTTTACCGACAGCAGTACTGGTTAATCCCTGGCGTTGACGTTTCATGGTTAATTAATTATTAGAAAATCATGTCAATGTGATTTTACATACAAGATGGATGTGAAGCTTGACGTGGAGAATGTCGGGTATATCACTCGTTCTACCTCTACTTGTGGGTATCTTAGGGACGGGTGTACCACATTGAGTGACATAGTGCACATTGTGACTTTAATGAAGACAGCACAAAGTGTATGTTCTCCTTTAAGGTACAACTAGAACGACATGATGGAGAAGAACTGTTGCATAACTCGTTTTATGAGTTGCTATGCAACATGCACGAGCCCTTATCAGCCTCTGTTGCTGCAGGGATGGGTGAGGTAATTACATCATTTAGAGTATATGTGCAATATAGATGCCTGAAACAGGAATGAGTGTCAGTTAATCCACTGCTCGTCTACTGTGTGGAGGGATTGAATGTCAGGAGGGAGGAACAAGGAACACCTCAAACACTATGAGCGGAATGTACACAATGATACGAAGTCATGTTTAATGTATATACAGAGATTCTGAAATGTGACAACTATATACACGAATGATCGCTTAATTGTGATATTTACAATGCAGATGGAATGAAGGACTATCCTCTTAGGGGGGACGTAGCAGTCTGTCCATGTCACCCATTAACCGTTACTTGTTAAATAACGAGGAATGAACACCTCACTACACCATGGTCAGTACAGCTGATGATGATGATGATGATGATGATGATGATTAAGATGACGCTCAAATGATTCTACAGTTCGATGCACACAGCGGGGTTCTGGCTAAGATCGGGATTTCTTCTTCTTTGACCCCGGAAGTAGTTGCACCAGACCAAAGAATGTAGAGTCGGCTGAGAGGTCAAGGACGGTGTTATCATAAAGGAGATCCACCGATATCTTGTCCCCCTTTTCCAGATATGTCACACCTGGAATATTTACAAAAAATATCAAGTTCATTATTTAATTATTATTTGAAATGTTTTGTAAAAGAGTCGGGATAAACAAAATGGCTGCATATCTTCGTATATAGTTTATGGATTCTGCATGATTAATATCTCAAGCGACACGAATACTAACAAAAAATATATCCCAATGTCTTCCCAAGTCATTTTCAATGATATCATGCTGTGAGATAAGTGTACAGATATGTGTGTAATATCCTGTGGAGGGAGGCCTTTTTGTGCTTGGACTTTGATCAGGATATTTACGGTAACACTGCGTTAAAACACAGCATTGTTTTTCTAAGAAAGGGGGAGCCGATACACTTTTCTGCAAACAGAACATGACATGATTTCTTGTAAACCCAGTGGCAAAATGGTACTGTCCAGTACTTTCTGGAAAATAGATATTATTCTGGAAAATTCAAAACTCCCAAAAGCAAATTGTAGCTCGTTGACGGTGTTACCTGAATTGCTGCAGGTCCGGTACTTGGAGTTGTAGGTCTTCCCTGCTGTCATGTTGATATAGTCGACGCCCTCCATACACTTGAACAGACGCTGGTTGTTCTTCATAATAGCTTGACTCTGTTTCAGCTTACTGTCGTAAAACAGAATCTGGAAACAAACAAAATATTTTAATGTCTTTTTATTTTTTAAGTTGATTAATAAACGGCATTGTGTCATCGCAAATACACACATGTAAAACTGTAAATATTGTATAACACTTAGTCTAAGTGGTTGTGCCATCTTTAAGTTAAGTAGAGACTGCGGGTTAGAAGGCAAGTAACATATATCCGTCAGTACGATCCGCTGGTTTGAATTTAGATGGACATACATTATATTACATTGAGGAAAAATAGGTTTTGGAATAGGTATGTTGTAGTTGATCACAATAATAAATAAAAGCAACAACTCTCTTTACATATTCATAATCTCTTTCAAAAGCAGAGTCCTTTCTACGATTTCGACCATATCACGAGCATGTGTTTGTGAATCACTATCAAATAGTGATGACACCAGTGTAGGCAAAGCTGTGAGCGTATCCTGCAACACGGGTTGCACCCGACACAAACACATGCAACCATAAACACCAGATACTGCCAGTATGTAATTTACTGACAAAATATATTAATAAATATTATTGTTACGTCGATCTAAGATGCTTTTCGCTTCACGGTTCGCGAGTTCAAAACCACGTTTTTCATTACTTGTGCGTGTGGTTACAGCAAGAGTGTTAGTGATGCGGTAACTGCCTGGTGTTACTGTAGTCAGTCACACGGTGTCAGTTATGTTACTGGGTGTTACTGCGGCTTTATATCATTCAACACCTGGCTGGGATCATCATCGAGTGAAGTAGGTATAACCTACCACTCATATCACATGCATCTTCGCTCAACACCTAGATGTCACTGTTTGAAAACGTTCAGCAAACTCGCAGTGTTCATTTGAGAATATGTCGTTCAACTTGATAACTTGATACAAAACGGCTTTGAATGGTGCTTATTAATGTAAATACGAATGTTGATCCTTGGTATGAACACAGTCGCGTGCCCCAATCTACAAATTATAAGTTTTGTTCAGTTGTTTTCCAAATGATTCATGCCTATGTTATACCTACGATGTTAATGGACATTTTGAAGTTAGCTTAACACACTGACACTCCATACTCCACACTCCGTCTCACGCCTGTAACTCTCTCACGTGACACTCACACTAGCACTCACACTGCTATATAACAGGTACAGGCCGCTCTCCGTGATGGTGAACTTCCCATTCTCGTCCTGCGTGGCGGGCATGTGGATATGGCGGTTCTTCTCTACCCAGTCGGCAGGATGGAAGAACTTCATACTCCCAGCTGAACATGGAGAAAAAAGCATGATATAATAGAACGGAAATGAAAATGAAAATTATTTTTAAATGGAAAAAAACGTAAATTATTCCAGTTTAATTCGGAGACAAAAAGCTACATGAGTCAACACATTGATGGAAAACAAAACTTATTCTTGCACGGTGACATTGTTATGAATGTTTACGAAGTAAACATTAAGTCTCATCTCATCCCATCTAACCTTCGGGGATTTATGCATGGAAATACAATGTATATACAAATTTCGTTTCGTGTAGTGGAAAGATATATCAAACGTCAAACATTGGAAGTTATATCGGTGCAACTTTTCTGCAAATTAATGTGCAAATAGAAACATCTGTAAGTATACCCACATAAGTATAACAACCCGTATCACCATGACATTCCAATGTTTACAAATATTTGCTAGCATTGTCGAGAACAGGATAAAACGATAAAAAGCATAGGCCATTGTTGGGTTCATTAACACAACCTAAATGAACACATGACTTTTACTTTTAAATGATGGAGAAGTTAAGAAGAAATTACATTTCATTTCAAGAGTTCGGTTTCTGCAGGCCCGACCGCCCCATTTCGCCACATTAATGCACATTGTATCTGCAACGAAAGGAAATGACTCTACTTCAGACTTATTGTTCACTAATTTGTTCAATTTTTATCTAAAAACACACAAATCAATGAATCGCTAAGTGATCCTTCAACACTGTTGTGCGATGCGAGTCAGCGTTCTTCATGACTCATGTATTTATAAAGAAGAGGTTTGCGGGTGGAAATAGGACGGTCGACGCTACAAAAAGTATTTACATTCGTGTGATAGTCATTTCTAGAATATCACAAATGATGTGTAAATTGTACAAAGGTAACACTCAAGTTGGACAGACTGATCGTGATAAATAAACTTGAAGCAACAACACTGTCTGTTGTAAGTCACATCATGTCATGAATATTAAAGAATAAAAAAAAAAAAATTTAAAAAAAATAAAAAAATAAAAATATTAAAGAATGTCAAGTTGAATGGAGGTTATATTTTATGAGAACAGACAGATATTGGAGAACTCAGTGTTAATTGCAGACTTAAAAATTCAATAGAGTTTATCAAATTGGAATAATGAACCAGGATGCAAGACGTTAAAAAACATTAAAGTACAATGGTAATATATAGTCACACTGACCAGTTCCAAATTCCTCTTCCTTTCTGTCTGTCCAGAACTTGGGCGTGTAGTGGGCGGCTCTGATGGACGCCTTAGACCTTGACCTTGACTTGGACTTGGACTTGGACTGTAAAATGACATTCAGTTACCAGTACGTCTTACTGTAGTACTTATGGAGATAGAGCACCTGACACCTTAAGTACTGCTAACACGACACATTAATATATCTTCAACTTTTAATTTAAGAAGCTTCAAATTTAATAATGAAAGAAAAACATAATTATCAGCGTACTCTGGATATGTTATTATTATCAATAAAAATGTTGATAATAATTGATGACATATATTTCAGTACAGTAGCAACAGTACCATATTATATAATATAATGATGATGTAATTAATATCGTTTTTACTACTACTTTGTCCTCAGAAAGGTGTTAGCAAATTATGAAGGACTCACTTTTCCCCGCTTTTTAGCTGACAAGAAAAGAAAAAAAAAACATTAACAGTTATCAATAAAATAAACATTACTGATCAAATAATATAACAAAAAGGCAAATATTGGTTTTTACATTTTGATTAAAATAATGATTATTTTAATAACATTTAAGTTGTCAAACCATCGATGAGAAATTATACTCGTAATATAGATATAAATCAGAAGATTATATGTACGTTAAAAATGTCACGCGCCAATTCTGTCAATACACATCTGAATACAGTGGACTGATCTGAACAGTCGACTGACTCGGTCATTTAACATTGGGTGTATGTCATATGTGTTGTGTTGGTGAGCAGAGCTAAAATGGCGAGACGCTCTCTGTCAAACATAGTCTCGGTGACAATTAAACACTTACGTTTTCTGGACTTGCGTCGAGGAGCGGCCGTAGTATCTGCCGCACGTGCAAAACGATGTAGTAGTGGCAAGCCGCCCGCGTCGACGTCATTGGCGTCTGCCTCAACCACGTCGTTGACCTGAAATGGTCATAGACATAGCTTCGGTTTAAGTTTGCATGAAGGCTTTAGGCGTGGTCTGTCCACTTTTTCTTGAAGCCACCATCTGGGGACTTTGTACATCAATATGTCTGACTGAAGAGTGTATATCACAGAATACACGACTCAAAGACAGACAGACAGACAGACAAACAGGCATTCATACATGCGTATGCATGTTTGTATGTATGCCTTTGTGTGTAAATGTGCTTGTGTATGTTTATGTGTGAGTACGTGTGTGTGTGTGTGTGCATGTGTACATGTTTATGTGTGCATTTGTGTTTGCCTGTGTGTGTGTGTGTGTGTGTGTGTGTGTGTGTGTGTGTGTGTGTGTGTGTGTGTGTGTGTGTGTGTGTGTGTGTGTGTGTGTGTGTGTGTGTGTGTGTGTGTGTATGTGTGCCTGTATGTGGGGGGGTGTGCCTGATGTATGTGCGTGTGTGTATATATGTTTATGTGTGTGTATGTGTGTGAAGTGTGTGTATACTTATTAGTGAGCAGTCATGGTAGGAATCAATACACATTTTTCCTAACTTATCTCATTGTTTGTGAGGTCACCTGCAGCGGTAAAGCTCGCTACATTGTGAGGTATACCACACATAGGCCAATACCGACAGCCTGTGTATTTCACATTTGACATCAGTGATCGAAATAGATTTTAGTAATTATTGATTTAGCATTATTTGAGTATTTGACCTTTCAAATGGTGTATGACATGTAGTCACAAAGATATTTTTCAAACTGATAATTTCCTGATAAATGTAGGTTTCATCTAAAACCACCGAGTCGCGCGGAACTCGGTGTGATAGCAGTGGAAGCTTCTGGTTGACTGGTTGTGTTTTGTAATTGATATTGCAAAACTATGCTTCAGCTAAAATGTTTGGGGCAACATTTTTTTCCACTGGGCCTACAGCTTTTGAAATGTGCTGGCCCTTAAGGCTCTCGTGTGACTCTGCTGAGTTTCAGACACTGTTGGACACACATTGCAAACCAGCGTGAGCTACATGCAGCCCTACATATTTATGACAACCCTCAGTAATGTGTGTCTACAGTTTGAGTACAGTCTGCGTACAGTTTGTGTACAGTTTGTGTACATGTTCATCAACAGTTGACACCGTACTCCGCTACCAGAGAGCTGCTCTATGCGTGCTCCATCACACCAGGAAGTGCATTGGCTTAGCGAGACTTAAGATTTAAGTAAGGCTTCGGCTGAACTCGCAAAAAGACCCGGTGAAACTAATTCGTGGAAATACGACCGCAGGGGGACATTATACTCGCCTGAGTTGCCTCCCCTTTGTTGATAAACACAAGATAAGCAGAGACAATAAACAGACAGAACATATTACGAAATGTTTGAGAAATATAACCTACCTGCTGAAAGTGATTTGTCAGTATCTCTTGTGGACTCAAGTCATCCTCCTCCTCCTGGTCAACTTTGAGTAGATGTTTTAATGACTGTAATTCTTGTAACAATATTTTATCCTCTGCACTTAAGCCGCAGGTGTTAATCTCTCTAAAGTTTGCACGTGCAGCAACGAGAAGTCCAAGAACAGCAATAAGAAGAGTCAATGGTAGCAGAAAGTTCTGCAACCTGGCGTGCGCACACCTGCACCGACACTGACCGATACTGGACTTACAGACAGGCTGACGTCCACCCCCAGTCAGAGAAGACGCAGTCCGGCTAATGGAAGAAGTCTCTGTAGAACTGGGAGACATTTTGACAGTTGCACCAGTATTTGAGCCCACTGGAACCCCCATTGTCAATCAGACATCGAGACCAGCGCTGCTTCGGGAACGGCTGTGTATGACAGTAATATTCCAACTTGTTTGTATATACAGCTGTGTACAGCCTTCCGGGAAACGACCGTCTTCCGTGGATCGTCGGCCCCCAAATATGGAAAAGGGGCGGAGTCACGGAGGTTAATGTAATGCAATCTCATGCAAGTGTAACTCCATATGGGTTACACCTATCAGCTGACAAATCGATCGGAGGTCACAACATCAATGTCAGAAAATGTAAGGTGCATATATACATTCTTGCATCGTGGGTCATCGCGACCTTCTGATGAATAGTAAACATTTTTATATCAATTAATGACAGTAATTAAGACCCTTTACTGTCATCCACATGGATAACAGTTGTTGCGTATGTATTTTAGAGATTTGCAATCTACTATCTTTAATCTCGAAATCGGTTCTGTCGAATCGAGGATTTCCGAATATCATACCTGAGCTCACGATGTATCTTCTTGCCCCTTTTGTGTCGATATAACGGATAACACGAACCTATTTTATCTCTCTCATTCTGGGTTATGGAGATGTACGTGGGTAAACAGTTACTGGAACCGCACATACTTTCCTGTCTCGATTACAGCGGGGTGGTGGCCTAGTGGTTCAAGTGTCCGCTCGTCACGCCGAAGTCCTGGGTTCGATTCGTCACATTTGTTAAATTTATGGAGCCATGCCGACCTATACCGTGCAATGTCCAAGGAGCCATGCCGACCTATACCGTGCAATGTCCCAGGAGCCATGCCGACCTATACCGTGCAATGTCCCAGGAGCCATGCCGACCTATACCGTGCAATGTCCCAGGAGCCATGCCGACCTATACCGTGCAATGTCCAAGGAGCCATGCCGACCTATACCGTGCAATGTCCCAGGAGTCATGCCGACCTATACCGTGCAATGTCCCAGATTCCAAGCCAGCTAAATGTTATTCAGACCATCTATAGGGCATCTGTTAATCTTCGCCATACTTATGGTATTGACTCAGAGGTTAATCCATGGTACGACCCAGAATATATAGAGAGCTTAATGAAAACATCTTCCCGAGGCAAGGGAGTTAATTGACTAATAAAGTCCAGTTTCCACCCTTGCCGAACTAAGCTGCAATTACGGAGTTATATTTTGACTGGACTAACGGGTCTATGTAGAGTCCAATCAAAATCGCTCAACGAACTTGACATCCGGGTCGTAAACAACATGAATTTCAACGTACAGAGTTTGGTCGACTACGGGATTTGCAAAAGTCATGTACCGTCAACTGGACGTCGTCATATATTTTCCAAATCTTTTCATGTTTTTAATCAAGGTGCTCACGTGATTTGAAGCACTTCACAAAGTAAGAGCCGTGTATATCTTGATTATTGATCTTCTTGGCTGGGCGCCGCAATTTTGTTTGAAGCAAATGCAAGTGATATGAGAGGTGGATACTTGTTAATAAGAGAGACATAGTTATAGCCACTGGTGGCGCTACAATCGAGCCCTGAAATTCCAGCCTAGTTTGGCAAGGGTGGAAACTGGACTTTTATAGTCAGTTAACTCCCTTGTCTCGGGAAGATGTAATGAAAATGATAATAATAAAATTCTTTAAAATAGGCCCGTATACAGCCCCAGATCTATCCAGGCCACAAACTTGATCTTGTTTTTGATAAATCCAATGAAATCATTTATTGAATTTTGTGTCCCTTTTGACACTATTGTGATTGAAAAGATTCAGGGCAAATATGCAGACCTTGCTTTCGAAATTTCACGCTTGCATCCCAAGTACCAAGATGGTACCCGGGTTTGCTGGCAGGAATACAGCCCTTCTGACAATCTGGGTAGTGCAGTCTTGGGGAGTCTTCACATTTTTTCCAAGGTTCTTGGTGGGTTCGACTAGAAGAAGTCCCATTCACTCTCTGGCTGCGTTAAGAGGGGACAAGGTCCCTGAGCTGATGATGAGCCTAACCACCCAAACGCTTGTTGTTGCATTTATTTATTTTTATCTGTAAATAATAATGATAATAATAATAGGGTTGCTTGTACCGCGCTGAACTCCATATAACGTATGCCCAAAGCACAACGTGCACAGCGTTTACTCACAACACCTGAAGAGGTAGGTTTTTAAGAGACACTTGAACTGAAATATTGACGTAGCAGACTTCAGAACCATTGGCTGGAAATTCAACAAGTCGGCGGAGACTTGGTATGATGTACAAGTTCCGAATGTTTTAAGTTTTGAAAAGGAACACAGTTTAGATTGAGGACTTGGTCTGACGGGACGTGCAGGGCGATATACTCGTTGACAAGGTCACACACGTAGACAGGGACTCCTCCGCCAATACACTGATACGTCGGGGATAGCATTTGGACGTTAATTCTCTGTCTCATGGGTATTCGAGATGTTTTAACATGACCTTTAGATGACCAGCAGATAATCCGTGCAACATTATTCAGGATATTTTGTAGTCGAATTATTTGTTCTGATCCTCCAGCTGATGCTGTACTCAGCCTGGATAGAGTGATCTCATGATGTTGCAGTACTCAGCCTGGACAGAGTGATCTCATGGTGTTGCAATACTCAGCCTAGACAGAGTGATCTCATGGTGTTGCAGTGCTCAGCCTGGACAGAGTGATCTCATGGTGTTGCAGTGCTCAGCCTGGACAGAGTGATCTCATGGTTTTGCAGTGCTCAGCCTGGACAGAGTGATCTCATGGTGTTGCAGTGCTCAGCCTGGATAGAGTGATCTCATGGTGTTGCAGTACTCAGCCTGGACAGAGTGATCTCATGGTGTTGCAGTACTCAGCCTGGATAGAGTGATCTCATGGTGTTGCAGTACTCAGCCTCGACAGAGTGATCTCATGGTGTTGCAGTACTCAGCCTGGATAGAGGGATCTCATAGTGTTGCAGTACTCAGCCTGGGTAGAGTGATCTCATGGTGTTGCAGTACTCAGCCTGGATAGAGTGATCTCATGGTGTTGCAGTGCTCAGCCTGGACAGAGTGATCTCATGGTGTTGCAGTACTCAGCCTGGATAGAGTGATCTCATGGTGTTGCAGTACTCAGCCTGGATAGAGTGATCTCATGGTGTTGCAGTACTCAGCCTGGATAGAGTGATCTCATGGTGTTGCAGTACTCAGCCTGGACAGAGTGATCTCATGGTGTTGCAGTACTCAGCCTGGATAGAGTGATCTCATGGTGTCGCAGTACTCAGCCTGGATAGAGTGATCTCATGGTGTTGCAGTACTCAGCCTCGACAGAGTGATCTCATGGTGTTGCAATACTCAGCCTGGACAGAGTGATCTCATGGTGTTGCAGTACTCAGCCTGGATAGAGTGATCTCATGGTGTCGCAGTAATCAGCCTGGATAGAGTGATCTCATGGTGTTGCAGTACTCAGCCTGGATAGAGTGATCTCATGGTGTCGCAGTACTCAGCCTGGATAGAGTGATCTCATGGTGTTGCAGTACTCAACCTGGACAGAGTGATCTCATGGTGTTGCAGTACTCAGCCTGGACAGAGTGATCTCATGGTGTTGCAGTACTCAGCCTGGATAGAGTGATCTCATGGTGTTGCAGTACTCAGCCTGGATAGAGTGATCTCATGATGTTGCAGTACTCAGCCTGGACAGAGTGATCTCATGGTGTTGCAGTACTCAGCCTGGACAGAGTGATCTCATGGTGTTGCAGTACTCAGCCTGGATAGAGTGATCTCATGATGTTGCAGTACTCAGCCTGGACAGAGTGATCTCATGGTGTTGCAATACTCAGCCTAGACAGAGTGATCTCATGGTGTTGCAGTGCTCAGCCTGGACAGAGTGATCTCATGGTGTTGCAGTGCTCAGCCTGGACAGAGTGATCTCATGGTTTTGCAGTGCTCAGCCTGGACAGAGTGATCTCATGGTGTTGCAGTGCTCAGCCTGGATAGAGTGATCTCATGGTGTTGCAGTACTCAGCCTGGACAGAGTGATCTCATGGTGTTGCAGTACTCAGCCTGGATAGAGTGATCTCATGGTGTTGCAGTACTCAGCCTCGACAGAGTGATCTCATGGTGTTGCAGTACTCAGCCTGGATAGAGGGATCTCATAGTGTTGCAGTACTCAGCCTGGGTAGAGTGATCTCATGGTGTTGCAGTACTCAGCCTGGATAGAGTGATCTCATGGTGTTGCAGTGCTCAGCCTGGACAGAGTGATCTCATGGTGTTGCAGTACTCAGCCTGGATAGAGTGATCTCATGGTGTTGCAGTACTCAGCCTGGATAGAGTGATCTCATGGTGTTGCAGTACTCAGCCTGGATAGAGTGATCTCATGGTGTTGCAGTACTCAGCCTGGACAGAGTGATCTCATGGTGTTGCAGTACTCAGCCTGGATAGAGTGATCTCATGGTGTCGCAGTACTCAGCCTGGATAGAGTGATCTCATGGTGTTGCAGTACTCAGCCTCGACAGAGTGATCTCATGGTGTTGCAATACTCAGCCTGGACAGAGTGATCTCATGGTGTTGCAGTACTCAGCCTGGATAGAGTGATCTCATGGTGTCGCAGTAATCAGCCTGGATAGAGTGATCTCATGGTGTTGCAGTACTCAGCCTGGATAGAGTGATCTCATGGTGTCGCAGTACTCAGCCTGGATAGAGTGATCTCATGGTGTTGCAGTACTCAACCTGGACAGAGTGATCTCATGGTGTTGCAGTACTCAGCCTGGACAGAGTGATCTCATGGTGTTGCAGTACTCAGCCTGGATAGAGTGATCTCATGGTGTTGCAGTACTCAGCCTGGATAGAGTGATCTCATGATGTTGCAGTACTCAGCCTGGACAGAGTGATCTCATGGTGTTGCAGTACTCAGCCTGGACAGAGTGATCTCATGGTGTTGCAGTACTCAGCCTGGATAGAGTGATCTCATGGTGTTGCAGTACTCAGCCTGGATAGAGTGATCTCATGATGTTGCAGTACTCAGCCTGGATAGAGTGATCTCATGGTGTTGCAGTACTCAGCCTGGATAGAGTGATCTCATGGTGTTGCAGTACTCAGCCTCGACAGAGTGATCTCATGGTGTTGCAGTACTCAGCCTGGATAGAGTGATCTCATGGTGTTGCAGTACTCAGCCTGGATAGAGTGATCTCATGGTGTTGC